TCGTGTTAAGAGGCCGCACTCTCAAATGGTTGGTGTTTTACTGTATTGAGTGCTAAGTAATTGCCTGTAGCCATCTCCACCGAGCTTACATTTTGTTTGACAGGAACCTGATCCTGGGTACTTTGAGCCTGGTCCTCGCTGTGTATGCCCTCGCTTTGACTATTACGAGCCTCCCTTTTATCGGGGGAACCGATTTGATCACTATGATGAGCCACCATTTTCTGGAGGGAACTCCTATAGAGGTTTGAATCCAATCCTCGATGCAGCAGAGACATGTTCCCTTTCTTGAATATATAATACTATGTCGGATGGAGTCCCTTTAATCCTTATTTTTGAGATAATTTCTCATGGTATATTTTCACTTGCAGACTCTTTTGGGGTGGGGAGTGCTTCTTCACGTGATTACTATGGCCCTGGTCCTGGTCCTGCCTCAGATGTAGGTGTTTTTTTTTTGCGGGGTCAGATGTAGGTGTTTGTCTTGTCTTTTGGTTATCCTCTATTTGTGTAATTTTCTGGCTTACATTTTTCAATCCAATTCTATGCAGCAATATGGTAGGGGCTCGTTCTGACCACACTACAGAGGCGGGCATTCTGGAGGCGGGTATTACTACTAGGTGCTACCACAGTTATCTTGGCAAGTGTTATCGTTGTTGCAGACCTTTGCAAAACAATAATTGTCCATATTAAACGATGTGTGGATTTCGTGATGATCTCATCTACTAGAAGCATGTAATGGACCACTGTATTTGAGAAGATCGTATCATGGACTGCCGGTGTTAATGTAAACTTCGGGTGATTTATGTGTTTTGTTGATTGTTACTCCCTCTGTAAAGAATCACTATATTTCTTTACAGTACCTAAACATTATTGTTCCTGATGTAGAATGCAAACTAGAATTCAAGTAAGATGTGTTAGAGTAAAACGAGATTGAAAGCGAAAGGACAATCAGTCCTGGTTTCCATTGATTCTCAAGTATATATACATCTGGAAGAGGTGGGAAGAAGAGATGTCTGTTCGGAGGCATCCCTCCAGAACAGGTGCCTATTGGCAATAGAAAGAGAGAAGGGACATGACTGTTCGGGGTTGGACACACCCCTTTGCTAATGACTATTCATTAAATTTTTTTTTATTTTTTTTATTTTTTTAGAAAAGAGGGATGACCCCCGGCCTCTGCATCCGGGAGATGCATACGGCCATATTATTAATTATTCTCGAGGACCTTACAAAGTATTACAACAATAAGTCTGAATCCACCATCTTGGCAACACATGCCACTACTCCTACCCAAAATGATGAAGGGGTGCTAGCTGGGCCACTACCCAAACCACTCACCTAAGCCTAACATCAAAAGCCGGAAACCGAAACATATTCGGAATCCCCAGCCAAGCCACATACCGGGTCTGGGGCACAATCCGGTCAGACGCACTCGTGTGTCGTCGCCACCATCTTCCGCAGGTCCATCTTCAGATCATAGTGAGGTTTCTATCTTGTCTGGCCACTCAGCCATCGGCGTCACCATGACGCCAGACAGCAACCTCCTCCTGCGCGAGTCCATCTCCGCGCATCGAACGGCGAACCTCCACAGCGCCATGCCGCCGATCCTCGCCGCCATCAATGAGTGAGATGAAGTACCGCTCCACCACGGCAAGTACATTAGTGCTAAGCGAAACGGCTCACAACCGCAAGTCATCGGACGAAGGCGAAGATCCATGGAGAAGGCCAACCGTCACCACGCCACCAGCATCTCCACCCCACATGAGCAATCCCCGGAAGACGCCTTCAAGAAGGATCACGGCACCGGATGCCGCCATCGACCATGCAAGGGGAGGGCAGGTTTTCACCTGTGCTCGAGGGAGAAGTGGGAGGGGAGAACCACACCAAAGCCTCCAGGAAGGACCACGACGCCGAAGACGTCGCCTTTGGTGAGGCCGCCACGCCGGCCATGGGTTTCCCCCGGAATCACGCCCAACCACCAGATCCGTCCGTCCAGACCCCCAAGACAGCGACCGAAGCCACCAGGGGCTGGAGCAGGGCGCAGATCGGAGCAGATCACGGGCGGGAATGGAGCTTCTCCAGGAGCGCAGGACGACCCACGCGGGGGCGCCGCCTCGCCATCGCCCGCCACCCCCCCGCCGACCGCACGGCCAGGGAGGTAGCCCGCCAGCACCCGCCGGCGCAGCCCGCCGCACTGGCCACGCCGGACATCTCCCATCGGAGCCGCCGCCCCGGACGCCGTGCCCTCCGCGAAGGCGAAGCCACCAGATCCCCGCCGCCACCTTCATAGGTGTCGCGCGGCCGGGCCGGCGAGCACCTCAGGCGGCGGCGGAGGGAGGGGAGAGGGAGGGGGAGGCGCGGAGGGGATTAGGGTTTGCCCCCGGGTCGCCTCAGGCGAGGCGACGCGAGGGAGATATGACCTCGTTCACGCGTCCCACTATTCATTAATTAGCATGTGCTAATTAATCTACTAATTAATTCCTAACAAGATGTGCATGATGCTGCAGTTTATCATTGGAGCTGGTAAAGTTATACTTGTCTGAATGTATGTTGGTCAGTTACATTTTAGTAGTTGACGCAAATTTGGTAACTTTAGGTGGTTTTTGGTTTTCAGACATGTATTTGCTCTGATCTGCGATGATAAAATTTTAGCAGTTGAGCAAAATTTGGTAACCTGTAGGTTGTTCTTACACCCCTAGCTAGCAACGTACATAGTGTACCTGAGGAAAGTATTTCGTAGTGTTGGCCAACTTGAAGATTTGAAACACACTCGTAACCTTTGTTGAAAAAGGTTCTTTTGTGATAGGGATTTCATAGTGCTTCCATCCATCCTATTAACAGCAAACTGATGGATTCCTCTAAAATCTAAGTGAACACAAACGAATAAGATCTATGTCGTACAAATCAAAACGGAAGAAAGAAATAGCAGCAAAATTAGTGCAAAAATTAATATTAATAGACCACCTGCAGGAAAGGAACAAGACTTCGGGATTAACTGATTGATCAGCAATTGGGGTTGACCCTTCTACAGTTGCTCCTGATCTAGCCGTTGCCGCCGGTGAGCAAATAATGTTCATGAATTTTAAAAATATTATTGAATTCCAAACAATGTTCACGAATTTGAAAAAAGCCCCGCATATTTAGAAGATTTCACATACTATAAAAATGTTCATGAACTTTAAATTTAGAAATACTCATGAATTAAAAAGTTCTAATTAATTTTAAAAATATTCATGGATTTAAATAGTTCAACATTTTTAATAATTCAGGAATTTTAATAAACATTCATGAATTAAAATGTGGCGAAAAACTAAAAGAGAAGAAATAAAAATGAAACAAAAAATAGAAAAAGAAAATATTAAAAACAGTAGTATAGCACAAAAAATAAACAAAAACTAAACAACAAGCAATGCCTTCCCAAAACCGGAAAAACCGGTTGGTCCATTTTGGCCAAGTGTGCGTTTCTTTCAACCAGCAACACACACTCATACAAGCGGGGCCGATAGCCACACTCATAGCCATCGATGCACCAGACGGCTCTAAATATAGAAAGCTCATTCATTATTAAAAATGTGAAAAATGCAATTGATAATAATAATAATAATAATAATAACAATAATCAAACAAGCAAAGAAAAAACTATATATATATATATATTAAAAGCATAACATAATAGAAATAAAGAAAAACATAAGCCAAACTATACCTTCTCAAAACCGGGAAAACAGCAGCCCATTACGGTTAGGTTTGTGTTACTCTCAACCAGCGACACACACCCTTACAGGAGGGGTCCATAGTGACCCTATAGCTAGTCACCGACGCATCAATACACTCCAAATCTTGGGAGCTTAGTATCTGGAAGTTAGATGTGTATTACTACAAGAAGATCTAAAATGAGCATATGTGTATTTATGGAACATAGATTGATACAATGACATCCAAAATGAGCACCAATATACCCTTGTGTATTCTACGGACAATCATCATTTGGATATCAATGATCAAGCTATGTCACATTAATGAATCTATGGATGAGATCCATGTTAGATGTTAGATGTTGTGTTGCATTAATGAATCTATGGATGATATCCATCTTGGATATCCATGATCAAGTTGTGTTGCATCAATGAGTCTATAGATGTTATATGTGTTACTATGTGAAGATCTAAAATAAGTATATGTGTATTTGTGGAACACAGTGAGCATTAATACGATGAGATCCAAAATGAGCATTGATATATCCTTGTGCATTCTACGGACACTCATCATCTGGATATCCATTATCAAGCTATATTTCATTAAGAGCAGTGCTATACACACGATAGTGTGCAGACGATGTGTGCACGACAATGCAATCAGCTCCGTCCATTGCATGGCAACAGTAGGCAGCAGGCCGCTAGATGCTTATCGTGCAGTGGTCGTGCACATATTTGTCATCTGCAAAGTGGTTCCGTTTCACTAATGAATCTATGGATGAGATCCATATTAGATATCCATCTTCAAGTTATGTTGCATTAATGAGTCTATAGATGTTAGATGTGTTACTATGAGAAGATCTAAAATGAGCATTTGTGTATTTGTGGAACATAGAGAGCATTAACCTGATGAGATACAAAATGAGCACCAGTATATCCTTGTGCATTCTACGGACACTCATCATTTGGATATCCATGATCAAGCTATGTTACATTAAAGAATCTATGGAAGCAACATGTGTATTAATAAAAGTAAAATCTGAAATGTGCATCAATTGTATTTATGAATATAAAGGGCATTATTAGCCGGAGGTGCAAAATGTGCACAGACTGGACACTAATTAATATGCGTATCCATGATCAAGCGGCATACTTCATTTATGAATTCTCACTGCACGCACTATAAATAAAACTCAACCTCACGAACACCTCCATCCATCCATCCATCTCTACAATACACACCCTTCTCTATCCATTTCACTCTATCTCCCTCTGCTTAAGGACAGTTCAAGGGTATCTAGCCTTCTAACAATGGCAATAATGTCGCCGACCTCCATCTTCTTCTCTGTGATCGTCTTCATGCTCCTTTCCAATGCCATTACTACTCAAGCCGGTGGCTCTGGCAGTGGAAAACCTAAGGCAACAAGCCTCATAGTGGAAGCGTGCAAGAACGCTTCGGGTGAGACCCAAGACCCCGATGTCACAAAGGAATTCTGTTTGTCGACCCTCCAATCGGACAAGCGGAGTGCCGAGGCTAAAGACCTCCCTGGCTTGGTGCTCGTCTCCATCGACATCCTTAAGGGCCGTGTCACTGATGCTAGTGTCAAGGTCAAGAAAATGCTACAAAACGCAAAAAAAAGGCACACTGGTGATGTACGCTCTCAGTATTTGTGAGCTGCAATATGAGAACGTGGTGAGCACGCTCAACATCTGCCAAGCCATGATTAAGGATCACCAAGGTGACAAGGGCATCCTGCACTCCTTGCGTCTGCCCCACTGTGTGGATATCGCCGGCGACACTTCCGACGAGTGCCAAACTGATCTTGAAGATGTGCCAGGGACGGAGGCGCTGCAAACTGATAACGAGAGGCTGCGCATTCTGTTCAACCTCAACACCGCCTTGGTTGTACCATATGATGTCCGTGATTAGATTAGTATAATGATTGTTTTTTATCTGCGAGAAAGGATAATAAATTTGAAATAATAATCATAAAATTTGCTGTGGCATAAATTTTACTCATTTTTGTCTTATGGTATATACCCATGGATGGTTATGATTATCCACACAATATTAATCACGGACAGAAATGAGTAAGCCAGAATGTTAGTACTATTTGGATAAAGAATATATACCTCTGGCACGTCTACACAATATATATATGCTATCTTTGAATATGATGAAGATAAAAGGAACTTGACGTGCAGAGCAAGGCGGGCATTGTCGGCCGAAATCACTGTTCTGACCTTTTTAGCAATCTTTGTCACAAAATGAACTTGACATGAAAGTATTTCACGATCTGACCTTTTAGCAACGCCACAGTTCATGGCGTTTCTTCTCCATATAAAAACGCCAAAATAGCTCGCGTTTCAGCTCCACCTTCAAACGCCAAAATAGCTTGCGTTTTTTTCCACATAGAAACGCCAAGACGGCTGGCGTTGCTGCCCAGGCCAAACGCCAACGCCCATGGCGTTGCTAATTCAGAACAAAACAGTGCGCTGATCTGACTGATTGACCATGAACCGCTGGCGCTGCAAAGCAAAGCAAAGCATCACACGCGTGCATGCACGCATGCGCCGCTCTAGCTGCATGGTCATCATCGAGCACAGCTCCTCATTCATCTACTTTAATTTGCCATGCCGCCACGTACATACGGCACACCCAGTGAGTCAGTGACCAAGCACGCATTGATTCATGCATGCATGCACGGTCGCGCGCCCGGTGCGTGCGCGGACAGCAGCGCAGCCTGTCTCGTCAGCATGGAGGCAAACTGTGCGCGCGTCAGTGCACTGTTTTTCTTCTGGGTTAGAAAACCTAGCTAGCTAGTGTTGGCAGTAAACTAGTAGTATCAGCTAGTTTATCTGTATGTGCAGCTCGTCGGCATCCAGTAGTATCTACCTATTTACTCGTGCATGCAAGCCCACTACCACTAGCTAGCTACAGGAACCATGCATGCATGCATTCATCAATTCTTGCAGGTATTTCTTTATACCACATATGAAACGCCAAAGCCAATGGCGTTGCCATGTAGGAAAGAAACGCCAAAGCAGTTGGCGTTTTCATGTGGAGAAGAAATGCGAGCTACCTTGGCGTTTCCATGTAGAGCAACAACGCTAGCTAGCTTGGTGTTTCTATATGAAGCAGAAACGTCGGGGTTTATGGTGTTTGTAAAAGGGTTAAATTGTGAAATACTTTAATATAAAGTTCAGTTTATGACAAAGATCGTCAAAAAGGTCAGGATAGTGATTTCGACCGGCATTGTCCATCCCATGTCTCGATCGCCTCCAGAAAGCTGGCACGGCACGTTTGGTGGCCATGCTAACTTTATGCTTTGTGTTGGCTTTGTTTTTTCCTTTGCTAGCTAATGCGTTAGCTTGCACACTGTAACTGGCCGGCATTCTTTGCCCTCCTTCTAATCAATCCAAATACGCAGCTCTCCTGTAAATACCGAGTGCATGGATCCTCGCTACAGCGTCAAGGAGATATGAGTTGGTCGCGCTGCTGAACCCCTCCTCTTTTTGGATGATTTGTTCCTGTATTGGGATTTATTGGGATTTCAGCCGAGGATTTGTTATTTGTGATGTTTGATGTTTTCCCATGTTTGTGCAGGATTGGATACATCATGATCATTGATGTCAAGGAGGGTTCATCGTCCTAATGAAGCTGAGTAATATCGACTGCCTCTTTTGTGCTTCTGCAATTGGGAATTGTGTTACTTGTGACTTGAGTGGCTTTGGAATATTCGAGAAATTGGGAACGTTGTGATCACAGAGCTTACTTGCACTTCCTGGAATATAATCATCATTTGTGATTTTGCTATGTATTCACTAGTAGAAAACAGACTTTATGTTCGGATCGTTAGTCCCAGTTTGGATTCGGCCTGGGACTAATGTGACTATTAGTCCCGGTTTCAATGGCTAGGAGCGTGTTTTGGTTTGTGTTACAAACCGGGACTAAATGAGCTCTTGGGGCCCCAGCCTGATGCCCCTTTACTCCCAGTTTGTATCACAAACCGGGACTAGAGGTACCAAATGAACCGGGACTAATGATGCCCGTGCCCCCGATCGCTCCTAGCTGTTGGAACCGGGACTAATGATGCCCGTGCCGCCGACCGCTCTTACATAAACCCTTCGTCCAGCCCGAGCCCATTCTCTCTGTTTTCCACTTTCTCTCCTCTGTTCTTCCACTTGCTCAAGCTCTTCCTCCATTTTTGCCAAGATTTGTCAAAAATTGAAGACACCCCATCTATCCAAGTATTCACAAAGGTTAGCAACTTCGTCGTTTTATCTCTCATTGCTAGATTAGCTCATGCAATGCTCTATAAGTATAGTGATTTGTGGTTTTTAGTTTGAGAGTAATTATGTGGGAGTTTGTTTGATTTATATGCATTTGAGCTCAAATTAACTTCTTAGTTTGCATGTGTGTAGTTGTGGTTTTTGGGTATCGAGAGGGAATGTGTCCGGTTTGTGCAGGAAGCGCGGGGCATGTTGCTCCGGTGGCCTCAAAACTTCTTGTGCTCCCAAAGGAGGC